CAGCAAAGGTAAGAACCGCGAAAACATGCTGAGGCTGTTTGCAAGACCGCATGTTCAAACTGGCTCCTGGTGCCCCTTTAGGTGCCATATCTCAGGCCCCTGTGTTATTTCACCTCTAATGTTCTTTCGGGGCCCCTGGAGGTCCTTAGGTTTGATCAGTTCTAGTAACCACTGTTGACTCTCCTCATCAAGGAGACCCTCGGGGGCCACCACCCAACCACCATATGGGCCCTCCTGACCGGCAGGGGCCCGGAGGACTAGACCAGGGCTCGGGGCCCTACTGGGGGGACAACCAGCAGGGCCGAAGAGGACCACAGGACTTTGACGGAGGACAGGACTTCCACGGCCGAGCAGAGGAGGGCTGGAGACCCGGATACCAGGGGGGAGCGGGGAGCCACAGGGGAGCCGGGCCCCGGGCTGGAGGGAACGGAGGCAGCTGGGGCCCTGATGAGAGGTTCACCGGAGGAGAGTTCAGGGGCCGCAGGGATGACAGGTGAGAGGAGAACTGTGTGTTGGTTCTTTGGTTCTGTTCTGTTCTGTGTGTTGGTTCTTCACCAGTCTCCGCACGGTTCTGAACTTTGTTTCAGATTCCGAGGAGGCGGGCCTGGCCGGCCTGGTGGTCGAGGTTACCCTGATGAGTACGGCGGGCAGGAGGAGGGCTTTGATGGCCCGGAGGAAATGGGCCGAGGCTGGGACAGTGGAGGGCGAGGGAGGCCGCCTCGAGGAGGAGGTCCACCAAGAGGAGGAGGTGAGTCTGCAGCTCCGGACGCACCTGAGTCCTACCTCAGTCTAACCTGAGTTACACCTGAGTCACACTTGAGTGAGACCTGAATCACACCTGAGTTAGACCTGAATTGGACCAGAGATGCACCTGAGTGAGACCTGGGTTAGACCAGGTTTTAGGCCTAAATCAAATCAAATCCAGTTCATTGTTATGTTGCTTTACATTCAACAGCAGTACAAACGAGATGAGAGAGCGTTTGTTCAGGATCCAAAAACTAAAAGTAGCTAAATAAACAAGGGTTTGCACATCTGGATCAGCAGTTCAGCGTTCTGACAGCTGGTGGCATGAAGCTGTTGATCAGTCTGGAGGTTCTTCCTTTAACGCTCCAGAAACATTTTCCTGATGGCAGCAGTTCAGACGGTTCATGGAGAGGGTGGAGGAGTCCCTGATGATGTTCAGGGTCCTGCTGGAGAAGTCCAGAGCTGTCTGTCCGTCTGNGGGGGACACTGCTAGCTTAGCTTAGCTCAAAGAGTGGGAGCAAGGGGACACTGTTAGCTTAGCTTAGCTCACAGAGTGGGAGCAGGGGGACACTGTTAGCTTAGCTTAGCACAGACTGGGAGCAGGGGGACACTGTTAGCTTAGCTTAGCACACAGACTGGGAGCAGGAGGACACTGTTTGCCTAGCTTAGCACACAGACCGGGGCGCAGGGGGACCCTGTTAGCCTAGCTTAGCACACAGACTGGGAGCAGGGGGATCCTGGTAGCCTAGCTTAGCAGACTAGCTAGTGCACAGGCCTGGCATTCATTCCTGGTCACATCTGCAGCGTTCAGCTTCCCTCCACCAGACTTCCACATGAACAGAACTGTGTGTAGATACAGTCAGCAGCCTCCTGTCAGATCAGTTAGTGTCTGTGGACATAAAACACCTTCCAGGAAACATTTACGTTTTAAAGTGTTAAAGTAATAAATGTTTGTTAGCAGCTTACGTCTCTGCAGGACATAAAGCAGCTTTTTCTAAAAACACTCTTAAGAAAGTTTTGAGGTTGTTGTTTTTTTTTTTTTTTTATAAAGTTCTGAAATATCTACTGTGCTGCAGTGAAGCATACATTACTAAAAGCCTCTAAACTCATTTACAAACCTACACATCATTTATTGATCTATCTGCTGCTGATCCACATCCTATTTCATGATCAGTTGTTGAAACCCTGTTATTGATATCAGGGCTGCAGCTTGGGATTGTTTCAATTATTGATTTTCTATCAGGATTAATGTTTTGTTCTGCAGGATTCTAACAGATTTAGGTACTGTCTACTGAAGCAGTTTTTGAAACATAACAGACTACAGCGGTCCAGTTTATAGTCATTATTTAAACCGGTCCCAGATTCAAACACATCACACCAGTTCAGGACTCCAGAGGGTCAATGGACTCTGAGCCTCACAGATGTCATGCTGCAGCTAACCATTTTTATTGTTTCCAGGATCATTGTTGTCACATTTGCAAAACTGCCTAAAAATCAGATTTAAGGTGACAAACTGCCTGTGAGATGCTTCAACATCAGAAGTTTACAGGAATAATCAGTGACAGACAGAATGACTTTGTTAGAAGATCACTGGAGGCAGAACTCTTTAATATCACTGTTGTTCCTGGTTTGTTTGTGTGTTTGGATCTGAACCAGAACTTTGGGTCAGTCTGTGTGAAGTTACAGAGAACATCCAGCAGGTGGAGCCACTGCCCCTCCTGTTACATCAGGTTCAGTCCATCTGTATTTACAGGAGAAATCTCATTATTCATGTTTTAAAGACTCACTTTTAGTTTGTTAAAGTCTGTAGACTTTACAGAGAATAGAACCAGATACAGAAACACGAAGTGATTGGATAAACGTCTGATATTCAGCCTATGTCCTGCAGAAGGAAGTTTTTACTGCCAGAAGTATATTGAGATGAGCAATTCAACTTTACATCGGTTTAGTCCGTTTGGATTTAATTTACTGAAGCAGAACAGATGTTTTATTGGTTTGTACATACAAAACAAACAGTGGTTGTTTGAACTCCTGAACGCAGCTTTAAACTCTGATAACAGCCACTTAAACAATCAATAATCAATTATTTGTTAAAATGAGTTAAATGCAGTGAGGTTTCTCCACATTTTAACCACAGACACTGTTCACTGTAAAACAGGCCAACGGATGAAGTTAATTCCACATATTCTGGAGCACATATTAAACAAGTTGCTGTGAAGCTCACCTGAGGGCAGCGCACAGGTGTAGACTGCCCAGGTGTGTTCTCTCAAGAGCTTTGCGTGGTCACTAACCTCCATCTTCTGCTTCATTTATGTTTGATATATTCATTTACAGCGAATCATGAACTTCACATTGACTTTAAATCAAACTGCTTTTTACTCTGAACATCCACCAAGAACCCACACAGTCTAACACCTGACTTCCCTCTGACACCTGACCCCCATCAGACCCCTGACCTCACCTACCTCTGACCTCTCTCTGACCCCTGACCTCCGTCTGACCTCGGACCTCCCCCTGACACCTGACCTCTCTCTGACCTCCCCCTGACCCCTGACCTCCGTCTGACCTCTGACCCCTGGCCTCCCTTTGACACGTGACCCCCCTCTAACCCCTGACCTCTGTCTGACCCCTGACCTCTGACTCACCTCTCTCTGACCCCTTAACCTCTATCTGACCCCCCTCTGACCCCTGACCACCGACTCACCTCTCTTTGACCCCTGACCTCCGTCTGACCCCCCTCTGACCCCTGACCTCTGTCTGACCCCTGACCTCTGACTCACCTCTCTCTGACCCCCCTCTAACCCCTGACCTCCGACTCACCTCTCTNCTGCTGGTCTGGAGGGGTTAGCCTTTAGCCTGGCATGGATCCGGCTTGCTTCCTCCTCCTTTGTTTACATTTGTACCGTTTGCGCTTCCTTCTCTCTGGGGAACTGCCGGCGTAGTGTAGTAGTGTAGTCTCCTGGCTGTAAGTTTTGCAGAATGAACGTCTGGATAGACAAGACACTAAATGTTCACGCTCGCTGTCTCCCGAAGGGGGCGTTGCATCCATGCGTGCTGCCACCTCTATGGAAACATAAAGCAGGAAGATCTGGAACAGACAGCTTCACTGTACAGAATATTTCCAACAGAGGCTCAGAGAGGAACAACAGAACCACATTTAGAACCAACGCTGGCACACAACAGCTTAGGTTAGGGCTTCCTTAGAGTTAGATCTAAGATTTCCTATTCCCCCAAGTTAACATTTGTGACATCACAGACATCGCAGACTCATCATAGCGCCTCCTGCAGGTCACGACGGTTACCGTGACGGGCAGCAGATGCATGATGGGTCGTCTCCGGCTGGTCGAGAGCGCTCTTCGTCTCTGCAGGGGATGGACATGGCATCTCTTCCCCCTCGCAAGCGTCCATGGCAGGATGGGCCGGGAACAGGAGACCTCAGAGAGAGAGAGTCCCCTGGAGCTGATGGAGGTGAGAGTGCCACCTGCAGGCTGAAAATACATGTACAGTCGTGAACTAAAGCTTCCATCCTCTTATAAAGACAGTGTTCATCATGTCAGTCTTTAGTCTCCAGTGACTCCTATAACTCTGAATTTTCTATGATGGAATCATTGAAACATGAATCTTTGGCACTAAAACAATCCTGGATTCTGGGTTCTGTCATTGATTTATTAAAGTTCTTCTGGAAACATGGCAGAATCTGCTGGATCATAAATATACATACAGCCACCTGAAGGATCAGTCTTAGTGATGTAGATGTAAACCATCTGATCCACTCATTAGACTCAGACACTACAGTGGGAAAGTCTGAGGAGCTCAGCAAAGATCTGGAGAAGAACATCAGTGACTGGAACCAGTCAGAANCGACTCACCTCTCTCTGACCCCTGACCTCCGTCTGACCCCCCTCTGACCCCTGACCTCCGACTCACCTCTCTTTGACCCCTGACCTCCGTCTGACCCCCCTCTGACCCCTGACCTCTGTCCCCTGACCTCTGTCTGACCCCTGACCTCCGACTCACCTCTCTTTGACCCCTGACCTCTGTCTGACCCCTGACCTCTGACTCACCTCTCTCTGACCCCCCTCTAACCCCTGACCTCCGACTCACCTCTCTCTGACCCCCCTCTGACCCCTGACCTCCGTCTCACCTCTCTGGAGTGTCACATTGACAGATGATTGACACAGTTTTCCGGATGTTGATTTCAGTGCAGATGTTTGTGTCTCTATGCTGACACTATCTCCTTTTTGTTGGGTTTTCAGTTTCTCTCCGACTGATAATAAATTCGCCACCTGCTCAGACGACGGAACTGTCAGGATCTGGGACTTTCTGCGCTGCCATGAGGAGAGGATCCTGAGAGGTACCACACCTGGACACACCTATACACACCTATACACACCTATACACACCTGGACACACCTGGACACACCTATACACACCTGAGACTGTGCCTCCACTAGCATTCTCCCCCATGCTTCCACCGGTGTGCTCTATCAGAATGTAGGTGAAGTGTCCCAGTTCAAGGCTGTTTCACTTTAATGTGTACATCAGTGTTTTCCTCGTCTGTGTTGTGCTGTTACTGTAGAACCTGCTTTCTTTGCTGTAAGTTTGTGTTGTGGTGTTCCTGTGTGTGTTCAGGCCACGGTGCTGACGTCAAGTGTGTCGACTGGCATCCAACCAAAGGCCTGGTGGTGTCAGGCAGCAAGGACAGCCAGCAGCCAATCAAATTCTGGGACCCTAAGACGGGACAGAGTCTGGCGACGCTGTAAGTTAATCAGGAAACTGATTGTCCATTTATTAGCCCTCCAATAAATGCAAACACAACCACATGTTCCTTCATTGTGGTTCATGATTCTCTGCAACGTCAAGTCCTGCAGCTCTGTGGAACCAGAACATGAAGGAGGAGACAGAACTCTGGACATCTTCTGGACTCAGTTAGAATGATGGATACCAGAGAGAAGAAATGTTTGATTACCTATTTCACAAAAAATGTGTAAAACCTGGAACCATAATGTTCCAGATGTTAAACCCTGGAGCTCATGTTGTCTCCTGGTCCTGCAGATGTTGAAGTATCTCCATGTTCCAGACTTTCCTCTCTGTTCATCAGCCGTAGAAAGATGTTCCACCATCAGNGGACTGCTGAAGGAACAAGTCTGAGTCAGAAAGACGACAAGTTTAGTTGAACTGCAGCGGTTCTGTCCAGAGGAGTCAGAGATGGACCAGAAGCTGGTGGACGGAACCAGAAGAACCCGACTGAGGAGAACATGGACGTTTAACCAAAGAAAATTCTGAGTTCTAGGAGTCATTGGAAACTACAGGCTGAATGATATACATGGTCTTTACAAGTCTGTGGATACAATATAGACACTGACAGAGGTGAGAGCGCCACCTGTAGGCTCAAACTACATTTATTCACATCATACAACTAAATTGGAATAAATAGCGGCTCTGGATTAAAATCTGAACTGCTGTTGGATTTACAGTTCTTAATGGATGTTGAATGTTTTTGTTTCCTTGCTCTGCGTCGCCCCCTGCAGGTCGCCTGCCTCAGAGGGAGGACAGCGGTTATGGTCCGTCCAGTCGTGGTGGACGGAGCGGCTGGGGTCCTGGAGGCCCCCCCGGCCCCAGGAGAGGAGGACCGCCACCGAGAGGAGCACCGAGGGGCGGCGTTCGGGGTCGGTAGTCCTGAATTTAGAATAAAAAACTCCCATGATCCTCTGCTCCTCTGGTTGTCTCCCTGCGGTTCCTCCACAGACCTGAGACCAGACAGACTTTGTCACTTTCAGGTGTGTGAAGAACAGAGGTTTATGATTGGCCACAGCAACCGAACACCTGAGCCGACAGGTAGAAGAGACGTCTGTAAAATACTGTAGAGACTCATCGTGTTGTTTGTATCTGCGTCTCTTTTATTCCACTTCGTCTGCAGCTTCCGGCTTTTTGTCCTTTTTGTAACAGATTTCTATGTTTTTGTGTTTTCACTGAGGTGGACAATAAAGATTCACACTTCAAACTGTGTCTTCCTAAAACAGAGTCACTGTGAACTTAGCAGATGTTTTATGAACAGCTGTAATGAGGTGAAGCTGCTCTGACAGTCATCAGACTGGTTCACTCATTATTTTATGGATAATTTATTGAACAGTTGGAAATATTCATTCGTTTCAAACTAAACTTTATTTGCAGAAAATCTACAAACTCTCAGTGGTCCTGTGAAGTAAGTTCTTCAGCTGATGCTGAAGTTCAGAGAAAACACATGAAACCAGACCGTGTTTAACAGTGTGTTTAATGACTGAGCTCCCACATCACACCTGAACACATCACCTGTCTGCAGCTCAAACTGTTTCACACTGATTTGGTCCTCAGAGAACTTCAGCAGTCTGTCGGCCCTGCAGGTCACGTTCAGGGTTTGTTTTCCTCCATGTCTGATCAATATGAGCAGCTGATAATCAATAATCATGTGTCTGCAGAGGAATGACACTCAGTCCAGCTGCTATCTGACCGGGGCTCCGGCCCCTGCTTTGGCTGTGAGACCTGCCGGTCTCCGGCTCTCTGTCCCGGTCAGATCGGCATGGTTTTCCCGGTGACGGTCCTTTTGATAGCGGACGCCGCCATCCCGCCCATGAAGCGGATCCCGGCGCTCCCTCCGGGAAGCAGCGACACCAGGCAGCCGGCGATGACGGCGACCTGCAGGGCGGCGCCCAGCGCCGTTAGCGCGGTGCTGTGGAGGCTGAGCGCCGCGTACAGGGTCCCTCCGAGGGCACACAGGTACACGGCGGCTCCGGGGGAGGTGGGCAGACCGGCGGCCAGTCTGCTGGGGCCCCGCAGCACCGCCGCCGCCGCGATGGCAAACAGCGAGCCGAGCGACCAGAGCAGCGCGAACTTGCGGGCGTAGAGCAGCAGCAGCGGCGCGTAGAGCGCCGACAGACCGAAGCACAGCGCGGAGAACGACACGCAAACACCGAAGGCCACCAGCCGCTGCCGCCGGCTCATGCCCGGCAGGCAAGGGTCCGGCTCAGCCGACCACGGCCAGGAGAAACCGCTGTTTCCGCCGGAGCTCTGGCTGGACGAACTGCTGGGCCACGGACTGGACCACCGACCGAACCAGCTCCCCGGTACCGGCTCCGGGTCGCCCAGGTCCACTGCGGTGCTGGGGCCGGACTGGGAGACTGTCTTAGTGGCTTTGGACTGAGACAGATACTCCTGCAGTTGCCGGTTCAGGTCCGCCATGATGGAAACAGCTAGCTGCTAACTGTTAGCATGACTTCTTCTTCGCTCCTGCTGAACCTCCGGTCTAGCTCGGCGCGTCTCCGCCCTCTACAGGACAGGAATGGAACTGCAGCTAATATTAACCTGCAGCACGTCGACATTCACTAATTACATACACTTTTATTAGACTCACAGTTTAATTATCAGACTTCACAGAAAAAATACTAAAATTATCATTATGCGTCACTAATTACTAGAATTCTTCTCATTCAATGTCACGAATTATTCCATTTATCATTAGACTTTTTAGCAATCATTGCATTAATTATAAGACTAGAGACAATGAAATTGTTCCATTTATTATAATTTCAGACAGAACAAAGAGAGCAGAGATAACGTTCAGCTGAATTAATAATGGGATTCACACAAGATCCGAGCTGTAACAGATCACATATAAATTAAACTGGCCTAATGTCTGAGGATTTCTGTTTTTATTTTGGTCGAAGTCACGTGACTTCAGGACTAGTTTTCAGCTGTTGGACTAAAATAAACCTTTCACGTGACTGGCTGGAGACCAGACACACAACCATGTAAGGTGTGTGTGCTTCACTCAGAGCAGAGGAGCAGCAGCAGGTAACACATTTTAACATTATTAGATGTTCAGACAGTAAAGCATCACAGATGCTGTCAGTGTCCTTGTCAATCTGATTTTTAATGTTTCATTGAATCGCAGCTTCACTTCAGGATGTCGGCTGAGACCAGCAGAAACAAACTGCACTTATTTTCCACATCACAGCTCCAGAAAACATTTCTCTTGAAATAAATCCTTCCATGTGACCTGATAACATGTAAATCTGCCGTTTCAGCTGCTGCTGCTTCTCAATGGAACCGAAATGTGGCTTCACCATTAAACTGAACACATGAATTATTTTCAGGAAACAGTCTAGAACCTGATACTGTTTACAGGAGGAGTTGGCTAAGCTCACAGTATCCCCCTGCTCCCAGTCTTTGTGCTAAGCTAACATTGCTTAGACTCCTGTTTTGTTCCTTTGTGTCTCATTATTAAGGTGCCCACCTGCCTTTTGCTCAAAGTCTTTGTGCTAAGCCAATAGTATCCCCCTGCTCTCTGCCTTTGTGCTAAGCTAACAGTTCCCTCTCTGCCTGTCTTTGTGTTAAGCAAACAGTATCCCCTGCTCCCAGTCTTTGTGCTAAGCTAACAAAACCCCCTGGTCAAAGTCTTTGTGCTAAACTAAAAGTATCCCCCTGCTCCCTGCCTTTGTGCTGAGCTAACAGTATCCACCTGCCCCATGTCTTTGTGCTAAGCTAACAGTTCCCCTGCTCCCAGTCTTTGTGCTAAGCTAGCAGTATCCCCTGCTCCCTGTCTTTGTGTTTAGCCAACAGTATCCCCCTGCCCCATGTCTTTGTGCTAAGATAACAGTATCCCCCTACCCCATGTCTTTGTTCTAAGCTAACAGTTCCTCTGCTCCCAATCTTTCTGCTAAGCTAGCAGTATCCCCCTTCTCCCGTCTTTGTGTTAAGCTAGCAGTATCCCTGCTCCCAGTCTTTGTACTAAGCTAACTGTTCCTGTGCTCCCAGGCTTTGTGCTAAGCTAACAGTATCCACCTGCTCCCAGTCTTTGTGCTAAGCTAA